AAACCCGCAGGATAAAATACTAATAACAATAAGTTTATGTCTTTTTTTTTGGCTGAATAGAAAGATTACACGAAATTGTGACCTCGAAGTTTCCCTAAAAACTCTCAAATAATCACGGCCTTTTCTCATCAGGACTAAACGCTTTATTCAGTAAACAGCAAAGGCAAAACATTCCGTGATTGCTCGGAAAGTTTAAAATTGCTGTAAAAATATTGACCTGTGTAGTAGGCGCTGGTTGGCATTCGTATAACGCTTAAATGATTTCGGTCAGCGAGTGCAAAGGAGAAGACAAGTGTCTCCTTGCTCGTCGCATCTGGGTATCGAAGCACCATCCTAACTGGCTAACAAAAGCTCTGCTTATCAGCTCTAAGCCCCGTCTACTTTCTACATTCCACATAGCTGGTCAATCGGTCTCAAGAAGCTAATTACGGACGTATATTCCTCGTTCTTATTAAAGCGTGTTGTGCTGAAAAAATTGGCATCACTTACCCGCTTATAAGCAAACCCGAGATCTCTTTTGGGCGTGTGTTGGCCGGGGAACCGGTCTTCTATCCGCTGAAAAGAAGAAAAAAAACCAAAACAACAACAACAACAGGCGTGCACGGAACAAAGGAGATAAAAATGATGAAGAGAGTTCAAGAGCAGTCTTACTCTTTTCTTCAAATGATCTCTTGCGCTTTATGTTCATCCCTTGCCGCTAATCGGAGTCGCACAACATCGTGAATCGCGCAGCTAAGTTCGATGATGCCAGCCTCTAGATTTTAATTACCATTTGTTCTTTATTTATGTTTTCAAAAGTAAAATAATCTAAGATTTATTATCTTCTCAGAGGTGGTTCCCAGCACTTCATATGGATAAACCCCGCATACGGAAGCCCTCAAAATGGTGCAGCGAACAATGCGTCAAAAAGATGATGGCGCTTAACAGAAAAGAAGATATCATGCTGCAACAAACGTTGGATCAACTTCATCGTGAAGAAAACCATCTCCTGCGAGAGTATGAGTACGACATTTGGAAAACTGAAAAAGCTTTTGACGCGCGTGTCAAAAAGCTCTCCAATGGATCAGGAGGGTCCAACTTGATGTTACGAAGAAATAGTTTACCAGCCATAGAACCGGATAAGCCCAGGGCGGGAATGACGAATGCAAGATGGCACTCTTTGACGCAATGTTCTCCACGTGAAAAGCCGAAAGATGAACATGATAAAAAACCGGCAAGCGAAGATGTCTTGTTTGAGATAGACAACGACTTCAAGTTTTTATCAGTCGCTTTTGGTACCGAAAAAGACCAAAGCCCAACAAGCTCTAGTGCCACCAAGTTTCCCAGAATTAGGAATTCTACACCAGGCTCCACCGGCTCGTACTCAAAAGCTGCTCTAATGCGCAGACGCCACAGTGACGTTACGACATTACGTGATCATATGCAAAGATATCGAAGTGAGAAACGCCGCTCTAGTTTGGCTGATATTCATACGTTTGGATCTAGAAGCTAGAAATCCAAAGATTTCCTATGTGAATATGACAAAGATATTTTTGTGTGAATAAATCGAAAACTGAGTACTGCAATCGTCTAACGATCCTGCCAA